CAAAAGGTTGAAAAGTTCAAGGGGGCCGAATACTTTCGCAAGGCACTGTAAAAATGCGTTCCCAGCCCCGGGAGGTCAAAGGGCACTCCTGGCTGCCGCCGCCGCCGCCGCCGCGCTCAAGGCCCTGTCGAAAGGCGGGAAACCGAGAGCGACCGGAGCGCTGGGTCACGGTCACACTCACCCTCCGCTGGTGTTGCCGCTCTTGCCGAAGTGCGTCCGAGGCTCGCTGGAGGCCAGCTTCAAGAGCTCGCTCCACTCCCGCTCCCACTCCTCTTCCGTGTAAACCAGGCCCGACTGCGAAGAGAAAACAGCAGCAGCAATAAAAAAAAACCCCAATAACAACAACACAAAAACCGCAGCTGGGTCTTGGAAGTCTTCCGGGGGGCCAGAACGTCTAACGTGCTCGCAAAAACAAAAAGATGGCAAGACGAGGAAAAAAACAAACAAACAAACAAACGACTCAAACCCAACATCGGCACTGTTAATTGCACTTACATTTTGAAGTTTTTGTTATTGTATAAAAAACAGACTTTGGTCTCCGTTTTTATCCTTTTCTATGCGATGTTCTGTGAAAACCTTAAAGCCAAGCTCAATACATCTGAAGCACAGAAATATTCTCAAAGACTGTTGTACTTTGTGCAGGATGTTGGTTTTTAATAGTGGAAATACAGGATTGATAAACTTTTTGTGCAATCATGAGCAGACATTTTATTAAATTCAGCTGATGTAAATATAAATGTGAAGATGCTCTAAACCTTATTAAATGGAGGCTCCAGGAAAAGTAAGAAATAAGCTATTGAACCATTATGTAGAAGCCAATATGCCTGCCACTGTTTTCACTGCTCTGGACATGTTGGAGCAACTCAGCTGAGTTCATTACGGAAAGAGCTCATGTCAGTATCCACTGCTGGTCTTTAAAAGCAGCTAGACTAATTTTTTAGATGCACTGTTGTTGTGAGGACCTTTCACTTGTGGCAGTACAAATCCCAAAGGAACTACAACCAGTCTAAATAAATCACCTTTTCTACTGCACAGCCATCCTCCTCAATCAGATAAAAGGACATTAGGTTTAAGGAGGCAAAGATATTCCCTTTTAAGATAAAACCTGAATGAATTCTTATTTTTCATTACAAACTGTTAATGTCTTTTATAAAGTTTAAAATTAAAACAATTTTAAGTACTATCATAATTGCAAATACCAATTTGGAGTTGATTGTTTGAATAGGATAGTAGCATAAAACGTGTTAAAGGTGCAAAGGTTGCAGGTGCAACACAAAAATGTGTTTATTCCTTTGCAGTGAAGTGTTTACAGGGGACTTTTACGAATTTGCCAGGCATTTCCATTATTTTAAAACAGGTTTAGACTTATTAAAAAAAGGGAAACTTTAGTGAAGTCATCATGTTTAACAAAGAATACTGTGCAAAATAAAAAAGCAATATAATACTGCTGCTATATAATATGTAAGATAATAGATTAAAAAAATCTAATATACTGTATATTGGATACTGCTGCTACTTATTAAAATAACAGGGCACTAGCAAGGTTTCTGTACTGGTGCACAAATGATATTGTTTTCAAATACAGCACATAAAATCGGTTAAAAACACAACAATACGTACAAAAGAGGCCCATTTAGCTGGTTTGGGTGCAGTCTGATCTGAGGACCCTATCCAGACATCTCTCGAAGGAATCCACAGAATCAGCTCCACCACCCTCGCTGTTTTCAGCATCACTGACTATATTCATCACTTCAGTAACACTTGGCGGAAGAAGTCTAAAGATCCTCACACTGCGCTGCTTTGCCATTCCGAAGCAAAGGGGGCACATTCTGCTCTTCCTGTGTTTTGTAAGGACGGTAGTGGAATTTGCGGTTGAGGCTCTGGACTCATAAATGGAAATTTGTCAGTGCAGGTCCCGAGGGGCCCATCGCTGTTATGCCCTTGGCCTGGGGACTTCAGTAAAATCCCCAGCTGCCGAAATGGATTCAGACGTTAAGTTGCTCTGGATAAAAAGGGTCAGCCAAACAAATTGATTAAAATCTTCTTTAGGAAGCCCCCCGGGGGGCTGTTTCATACAGGACAACGTGAGCTCCAGTTCGGTGGGGAGGCTGCCTTACACACCAACCTCCTTATTTTGCTGTGTCTGCTGCCATCGCCAGCGCCTCTTCAGGGCCTCTCTCTCTGCTCCGCTCTTCATCATGGCGTAGAGGGATTTCCTCAACACCAAGTCCCTGTCGTGGAACCCCCACATCCCTGAAACACAGAAAGCCTCTTTGACACTCTAAATAATGCACCAGCGCCCAAGAGGGCCTCCCGGACCGAACCCGGAGCCGAAGACTGTCTTGCAGAGCATGGGAGTTGTGATGAAACTCCCTCAGAAGAAACGGTTGAATCAGTGATACTCCGAGTAATTCATTCCAGTCGCCTTGCTTTTTCTTCCATACAGCTCCATCTTCCTTGTTGCTTTTATAGTGAAGCCAGGGAGTGTTTCTTTATCCTCACATTGTGGGCAACGGTGTATTGAGGTTTAGTTTTAAAATAAAATTCAGTCTCTTCAGAATTTTTTTTCAACAGAAACAATGAAAGCCTTGTCTTTCCTCTTTTATTTCCCAAACACTGAATTTATATGTGGGATAATCTTCTAGTTATTACACTTCATCATCATGCACACAATTTCATATTTGGTTCGTGCCTTATTATTATTAGACTTTATTGTATAGTGAAATAAATTTTTAACAGTAACAAAAATGTGATTCTGAATATAACATACCTAAAGAAAGTTTCAATACCCCATGTTTTCTACCAAAATAATTTGATAATAACCTCACATTTGACATAATCCAATCCAATAAATCCATAATATGCATACATTTGCAGTTTTCTGTGGACAACACAGTGAATTTAATATACATCTTATTATATACATCAGATTAAAAATCAAAACTAGAGCAGTCTGATTTTTAAAAAATATTCACCCCAAGATTTCAAGCTCCAAATCTCTTATCTTGCATTCTGATTCCCCGCTACAGTGATAGGATGTCTTATACCTCTCTCCAGCTTGAAATCTGGTCACAGGGGACCACAGAACTAAAACCCATATGGGTGTTTCAGGAAGCAAGCTGTCTGGCTGCTTGCAGGGATGTAATAACAATTGTCAAATCAGATCACACTAATAGACGAAGTTACAAGAAAAAGGTAAAGTCGGTGGACAGTTTCTGTCCTACTTTATAGAAACAGTTACTTTATAGAAGCAGGTTGCACAAACTTGAATTTAAGCTTTTGTCCACGATAACTTGGGCTGGAAATCCTGTTTTCAATCCGGTCCTACCTTAGGCCAAACATGGTGTTTGAACTCACCTCTGAATCAGGACTAATACTGATAAGAACGAGCCATAGCAAACATTCTCATCCATTAACTGGCACAGTTTTATCGCTAAACAACATCAACCATGCATTACATTAACAACAAGCACTTTCATTATTAATAAATGACATATTCATTACTAAGTAAAGTACACAGATTGCACTGCACAGAAAAAAAGGACTCGCACATCTTACCAGATGTTTGCACTAATATGGTACAGTTTAATCAAAAGTGACACTGAAAAAAAAATCAGGAAATTACCTAGCAACAGAAGTTCAGTAAGTTGAAACATATAGCCTAACTGAATTAAAGTAAGACATTGGCCTTACTTGCTTATTATTACAGCTTATTTCTTACCAATTCGACGGCAACTTGCAACTTCTTTCTCAAGCAGGGTTAAAAAATGCATGCGGAACCAGGCACACTTACAGTGTTAAGCTACAGTGCGTCCTTATACATAGCCAAAGGTGTTATGAGAATAAGTGTCTAGGAATTGTTTTCACAAAAGCTTGAAATTAAGTTTTTTATTTTATTTTCAGTGATCAAACTCAGAATTGTTTCTCATCGGTACATCTGTTATACCAATAATTTTCCTTTAGGGCTGCTTCTTACTTCTGGAGATGAAACCAAAGTGAACTAGCCAAAGGAAGCTTGACAACACAGGCTGAGTGAAGCAACTCCTCTTCATCGACTTTCATTAGCCAATTTCATGCCTGAGATCTTATGAATCTCCCAGGTCTTCGAAGCCACTCTTCTCCCGTGTTTTATCTCACTGTTCTCCACTGGCACAAGTAATCTCACGAACTGTTCAGAGGTGCTGAAGCCATAACAGGTCTTCTCTGACTTTAGTTCTCATTTCCTGCCGTAGTTTTTCAGGGAGGCTGAAAATACTAAACTGGGTCACACTGTAATGATCTGAAAGGAGTTCTGAACACGTTTTTGGCAGCCAAATAGCTATTACCAAATAGCTCTCAACAGTACATGACCCCTCCAAAAAAAAAAACCCACAAAACCAGCAATGCTTATAGTTTTTGTCTTCCTCACCTGGATTTCCTCAACCTCTGAAGGACACAATGCAGAGAAGAGAAAAACACTGAAACCCACTGAGACTGAGATCATCACCAACAATCCTAGTCTACAGCCCCCTGCGCACGGCTCTCTTAAGGTCAATGTGACCAAGTGATTTTCCAACTGTTCTACGGAGGACTGACTAATGTGTTTCCCTCCTAACACTCCCTATCCAAGATGAGACATTACGGGCACAAACCTCACAAGAATGTGTAGAAGACATGGACCCTCAGTATATTTACAGAATTAAGGACTGAGAAGCTCCTGTCTTACCTAAGGAGGCTGCGTGAAGGAGGCAATTTCCATCGCCTGTGGTAGCCAGGGGGAGGAGACGCTTACAGCTGGTACACATGGTGGACCACCAGTTCAGACGACCTGGAAACAAAGAGTCCATCCATCAGGCTTTGTGACGCGATTGGGTTGGACAGCAAACCTGCTCTGTATTTTTTTAAATAGACTTTTTTCCCCACGTTGTTCTCTCTTTTACCAATGGGCTTTGTTTTTGTGGCTCATAAAAAATGTGTTTGCTCAATATGACATAGATCACCTGTTATGGTTTTAAATTCTCTGATTTCGACTGTACACACCCTTTTTCGAAAACAAAAAAGGCATTTAAACCTCTTACCCAGTTCCTTTAAAGACTGTTATAGCGCCCTCGCCGGACGCTATGGCGGCTGCACGTCCACATTAGTTATGTGCCCACAAGCCAGTCTGGGAACAGCTGCCCAGGGACTGGACTAGTGGTCAGTGTGCTGACCTGGGACTGACATTGTTGTGCAAATAGCTGTAGTGCGTAACTGAGTAGCCCTTGTAAATAGTTGCTGGCGTTTATTGCTTTCCTCTTATGTCTCTGTTACCCAACGCAGGCTGTCCTATCCCTTCCTAATTGTTACCCTGAGTGTGAAAACCCCATTGTTTTTGAGTTCCAAATCTCTTGACTGTGACGTCTGACGGGCAGAGGTTTAATAAATGTGGTGCCCCTGCATCAAAGGCGTGTGCTTCATTCTGTGTAAACACTCCAGTCATTTCACTAATAATAATGCTGCAATTTTGTGCAATCTGTGAAAAAGGTAAGACTGTACCTAATACCTAATAAAGGTAAGACTGGTAAGCAGGAAGAGAAAGGCACAATCTTTTATTAAGGGTGATATGGTATCTACATCCCAATGGTGTATATTGGTGTACATTCATCATTTAGCAATGCCCTTGATGGTGGCCCATGGATGAGAAAACACCTTAAAAGCAGAGCAGTGCAGCCAGAGCTTATTATAGCTGAGTACATAAAGAGAGCCCCCTCTGGAAAACACTGAGGCACAGTCGCGCGAATTTCAATGTGTCAGGACTGCGGGAACAGCACAGGGACAAAGAGCCCCACTGTCCTCATCTGTGCTTAGGATCAGGTGGCGGAGCTTGAGGGCACAGAGAATGTTGTCACGGACACACCAGCAGCCCTCTCTGCATGTTCCTGAGACAGTAAAATAGTAAAACCCCTCACAGGCTTCTGTTGATCTTCATACTGTAGATTATGCTGTATTATTTATTGTTTGTCTGTAACTCACAGTATATACTGTATACAGTAGTCCTAACTCTTTATCCTCCGGACTAATGAATGAATAAATATATATTTAATGGCATGTTAGCCCTTAATTGATGTAACCATTTATCTCGTCATGTTTGCAACAGTGGCAGCTGGTGACTTCTGAGACAGAACAGACACAAGTACCAGTTGGCAGGGAAACAGGGGGCAGTGAGCTGTGATGAACAACTGAATCCAGCTGTGACTTCTTACCCTGTAGCTAAGAAAAAGAGGGGTTTCACAAGCATAGACACTCATGTTAGCCACTAGTTATAATTTTGTTTTTAACCAACTTTGGAGAGGAAATATAATATAGCAATATATATATATATGGAAATATAGCAATCATTTTACTTTACATTAATCAGAACCAGATCTCAACCACTAAATGTAAACTACACTTGGGCAGCCAACCTGCCAACAAGTGCTACAGCAGAATCTTCAGTGACAAATATTATTGAATCACATGTTCCTCCTCATAAACATCCTTTAGTTCGGTTTATGGCTGTGTAGTTCCTCTCTACACAGCCATAAAGATCGAAATTAAGCAGCATTAATTCTTGGAATTGTTCTGCATATAGAAGGAAAAAACGTTTTGCACAGCAGTGTTGAATTTATTTGTCTGCATGCTCCTCTGCAACAGTGCAGCTTGAGTTTGCTTTGCAGCAGAACACGATGTCAAGACATTCCTGCAGGCTGCAGTGAGAGGGAGGGCAGCACAGACCCCCGCAGCTCACCTGCTTGTTCTAATGCTACCATGGTGGACTGCTCGATGAGGTCGCGCTCGATGAAGCTCCTGAAGTCTTCGCTGTACACGCTGAGGTCAGGCAGCTGGAATGTGTAGATGGGCATCTCCAGGGGGAACTGCTCGCTGTTGCACTCGCCGGCCACGTGGGAGCGGGCCAGGGAGACGATGGCAGAGCTGGCGTGGGAAATTCCTCGGGAGAGGCGCTTTTCTGTCGTGGGAAGGAGACGCAGGAACGCGCTGAGTACATCGGCCAGACCGCGGACGAAGCGTGATGCGCATTTTCTTCAAAACAAATCACCCTCCTTATGGCCACGATAAAGCAGGCCCTGATTTTTGCAGTGTTCAGAGACCCATATTCAACAACTCTTTTCTATAAGTTTAGAAAAGGCCCCCAAAAAATAAGACTTTTTTCTCTGGGGCTACACTACACTTGTATATCGTTCTCATGGTTTTCAGAATACACAGGACCGAATGCAAACTTACCATACCGTACTGTACCCGAACTGTACATTTATTTTCAAAATCAGGGGTTCTTTGAACAGGGAACCACACCTTGAAAGTTTGTGTTTAATAGAAAAAAAAAACACAGCGAATGTCTTCATCTGCTGATCCGCAAAAATAAAGCCGTGCCTTAATAGTACTACTAGACATTTCATATGTAATGCTTCATAAGGTTGTGCACAGCAATCACCAATGAGCTCCAAGGGCTGAGGAATAAAAGACCATGATTTATGGAGAGGTTTCTCTGGGCTTCAGGCTGAATTAGTCGAAGCAGCTTTGCCAATGGGGTGGTGAGCACGGCACTCTGAGTAACAAGGCTGTGAGAATTCCTTGGCGGAGCCCGACGGCCCCTACCAACCTTGAGCAATGTCATCCTGCCTCGGCAGACTGGGCCGCTCGATCTTGCTCAGGTGCTGGGGGGTGTCGCGCTCCTGCTGCTTGAAGTAGCGGCCCTCGTTGAAGACCTGCGGCAGGTTGGCCGTGTGGACCTGCCGGAGCTGCTCGAAGTCGCTCAAGGCAGCACTCAGGTCCCAGTTTTTACCTGGGAAAAAAAGGGAACCGGCAATAAACACACAGAGGTCAGCTCCCTGTTCTTCTTCTCACGGCTTGGAGCTGTAATGAACCAATACAGCCTGGGAATAGAACAAGAGTGAATATATTCCTGGCCATACTGTATATGCATAAGCATATCGTAAAAGTCTGAGAAACACAGTGAGAAATAGCTAACTTTCTTAACACACGCAAATGCATAATGTATTTTTTTAAATGGCACACAAAGTACTAACTTAAGAAATGTAAATATGGTCTTTTTAAAGTAAATTTCAGTTCTAGTCAAATATCATTTATTTTACTCATTATAATTTACCTAGTGCTGTACCGCAGGTGGGAAGATCAAGCAAGTACCTGTGCATTTTTCTAGCAGCCAGTAATGGAATTTGGCCATTTATGCAGAAATGCTCTACCGGCTAGGAGAACAAGTCATTAAAGTGTTGTAAAAGACAGCAAATATGGCACAATGAGTGAGAATGAGTTGCAGTCCAGTAAGGAACTAAGTGAAGGCTTCACAAATGCACAGTATTTCAATTAGCCATGTTCGGAAGAAAAAGGTGGTAAACGGTATATACAGTTTATATTCAATGAAAAACACCAACTGCTAATGGTGATTAACCACTTATTTTCCAGTTGCTTTAATTTGACTATATGTACATTGAACAATTTAAAGCAAAGACCAGATAAAGTGAAAGTTATAAGGGAAACGAAAGGAGAAAGTCATGAAAATACTAAATGATCAGTATAATAATGCAAAGGGACCCCTCAAGAGACTCAATGTCAGATGTTCCTCATCATAACACATAACATTTTGCCAAGATTTAAAGACTTATATAAACACAAATACTTCATTGGATTTCTTTCATCAAATGAAATATGAATATTTCTAAATATTTTATCTGTATTGTTGCAAAATATATGGGTTTTCATCCCATTACATTAATATATTAATATTGATTTACCTGGAAATTAAAGTTCACTATCTGGAAATACAGAAAATGTTTCCAACCCAAGAAGTATAGATGAATAGGATGAATATTTTATGTTCCTTGGCATCTACTCAGATGTTATGACTAAAACATATTTTTAAATGTGAAGGTTGAAATTATTGGAGACAACACTTAAGGATATGTTTTTCGAATGCTGTTCTTTTTTTCCGAAAAAAAGGAAAGGAAGTCTAATGGCTTTTTGAAGATCACAGCATACATCTGGATTTTTTAGAACAGCACGATAAAGAAATGTATTACTGAATAAAACAGTGTTTATGGTTCACAACAAAAATTTTATTTTTCAAAACTGCCTCAAAGGTTTTAAAAAGTCTTTACTTTCAAGAAGGTTACCGTAATATAGACAACTCACAAAAATCAAATCATTGCAAAATTATTCCTGCTGCAAAGAATCAATTTCTGCTGCCATAATTAGTATTGATTAAACTTGATTTTTCCCAGGAGAAGAGGTCTCTAGCCGGTTGAGCTTGGCCTACTGAGTCCCAATCTTGGTTTCCCAATTTGTGCTGAATGTTAAAAAAGCCTTCTCTCTCTGTAATGCATTTCATCCGAGTGATCACACTTCTATTGCTCACTATGAATAAAGCAGTACACTCACTTATGCTCTATGTTAGACCTTGGTAACACTAAGACATATCAATTAAATGGTATTTCCTAATTAAATTAAACAAAAACTTAACCCACACAAAAAGCAGTCTGTGATTTACTTTCAATAAACTACATTGATACCTGATGACAGCTACATAGTGGAATACCCACAGACAAACATGCTGTGCTATAGAACTATTCAGGACCCACAAAGTACATCAGTTCCAGGAAATTTGAGAATATGCTGCTAATCTAGATAGCCTATACATTAAGAAACAATACACGGATTAAAAAAAAGTTATTAAAAATGTATTATAACTGCAAAAAATTCACAAAGTTATCAGGAAAATGGCATTTTCTGTAGCAAGTGCACTGACATTTTATGAAATAGATATGGCAAAGGTAAATTCATTATGCTGATTAATATCTGTGATCAACAGGGGGTGGTCAACACTGAGTGTACTGTGAAAGTCACAGGCTGCTAAGGTATGTGGGCACTGCTGAAAACAATATACGCTGTTCATTTTTTATGCATGTTTTGCATCAGGTTGCAAAAGCTATCTAGTGTGAATTGCCTCATTACTCTCACAGAGCCTGGACATGCATGGACTGTTCCTGCTCAATCATCTCAGAGTCCTAGCAGGGTGCCATTCACCACCTTCCACTTCCAATAAATATTAAATGTCCCCATCTTCTGTGAGAGAGAACACCTGAGGTGACGACAGAAAGACTGGTAGTGTTTTTTATTCACAAGGATGCAGACTTGCTACAGACTGCGGTCAACTTTACAGTTTTTCTGTTCCTGCAAACCATTAAAGTTGTGATAGAGTGAGAGAAGGTTTTCATGGCAAATCTCCATCTTGGCTCAAACCCAAGCCACATGGTAGCCTTGAGCCAAGATGGCTGCTCAGAGTAACTGGAAACAGTTGTTAGAATAGACACACAGAGGGAAAAGAACTATTGGGACAGGCTCCAGCTGAATTAGCCCCACCCCTTTTTAAGAACCAAGAGTTACGTACCTAGAAAGAGAAACACTCTAGGAAACCTACACCTGGACTTCAATAAGGATATCAAAACTGACTGCTGTCATGTCGAAGGTCGTAGTGTTTGGTATAGAGATGCATTCCTGACAAAATATGGTCAGTCAGGGGAAAGAAAGATTTAGGACTCTATATCTAGGAGTGCTTCCTAGAACTGGTTTGCCAGCACTCTGTGGGACTTAACAAGCAATGTAACAGCTTGAGAGGACAGCAAGAATACAGAACTGAGGTCTATCACGGCCCTGGACAAATAGGTTATATGGTGGCCTGTATGCCAGGCTCAATGGAGCACGTGGAAGGAGTGAGGGACTGTCTGGTAAGACAGCAGTTTATCTTCTCACTGCACCAAAATAGTAACAGGGTCTAGATAGCATGGAGTCATTCATATTGCACGCCCTGAATCGTAACAGCTGCAGACAGATGGGCGACCTGAGAAAGTGTTTGTAAGACCTTGAGAGGGAGTTTGGAATATCTCGATTAAGAGTTGAGCAAGTTTTATAAGAACTTGAGAAGCATTTTAAGAGGGCTGGGCACTACACAAGAAAGCAGATTTCTATGCCTATGCCTAGAAAAAGAGACAGGTAAAGTGCAGACTGGCAGGCCTTATGAAGTAAATAGTAGAGAATCCTCCAAATCCAAGAGGACTCCCTGAAGGAGGGAGTCTGGAGTAAAAGAGGAGAGATGTGAAAGAAGAGAATGGCAAGACCTGTAGAAGGAAGGTGTCTGCTCATTCTTCCCTGGAAGGGAAACGATCAGTGGTCCCAGAGTGTGGTCAACACCTTGTGGCAAAGCAGTGTCAGACCACTGAATATGCTCGAGAAATAACAGAAACATACAGAGCTCCTATTTCATATCACAGTAACCAGGGACGTTACAAAGGAGGTGATGCATATCACACAGTGCCAGAATTAACAACGGCACAACTTCCAACTTCCAAGGAATTGCCTCTCTCCATGGCCTGAGTTATCACCTGATATGAGTCCAACAGGACATCTATGGGATCAACTTGTCAATGTCATCAACACGAGACAACTGTGAACAGCGAGCCATTTCCAGCCATCTGCACTTTCCCAGGAAGAGTGGTGGATCATCCACAGCTACCTGTTCAGAGTCTGACCTGGTCAATGTGTCAGCACTGCCAGAATTGTATTAATTACACACATATTTTGCATAATAAAAGGCATCAAGATCCAAAACATTAATGTGCTGGATGTATCTTACTGAATGACCCATCTTTTAAAATAAATTAAATATACCCTGAAATCAAATCATTACAAACTGAGTGTTTTTGATCATTCTTTAAACTATAAACATTTGTATCTTTTTAAACATTTTAGTGCTCCTTTTATCCTTTTACCTCATGCCATTTCCCATAAAATACCTATTCATCCTATACAGCACAGACTGAATATCTGGAAAGGAGAACAGATGACTGTTTTCTCACCTCCCCTTAGATCTCAAATGACATATCAGCTGATATACAGTACTAGTAAGATGACTTCTTGAATAATGTGGCTCTTTACCAGTCAAGAGAAACCAGTCAACCTGGCACAGCAAGATACTGATAAACAAATAAAGAAGTGTGGGTGATGCTGTTATCCCATCCCATCTGTTTCTTCCAAACTCTAGACCTGTAGAAATTTTACTTCATCTAAATTCTGAGATATCATTCTCGAAACATATACCATGAAAACAACCTCCACCTATCAATTCCTTGTTAAAAAAGTGCGCTGCTTGCTACCCCTGCTGTAAGAGGACTCTGCAGGCTGGATACTTGATGCACTGTGCGAGCTGAGAAAGACTCAGTGCTTCTAACACAGTCTGACAGCTGTGACTGGACACATTCTAAAAGAAAGGAGTCAGACTGCTTCTTTTATCATCCTGACCACGACCCCTTCCTTCCTACTCAGGGAAAACACAGGGAGTTCAGGGTTGCCACCGGGGAATTGTTAGAGGCCCGAGAGTTAGCTCTTGAACAACTCCCTGAAAACCTGCTATGGTAGTCTAGTGATAGCACGAGCAACACTTCACATTCCAGCTGTTCAGAAATATTAAACCGCTGAAATCTCAATATTAACCTATAAAACACATCAATAAATTGGAAAAACATATAACACCTTTGAAATGTTATAGAAGCCCATAAAAATGCCTTTTCTAGTGAAGTGAGTACATAGGTAGTGCTGACATGGTGTGTCACTACAACGACTTCTGTCCTGGTTCATAACTGGACAACTGAGGCTTTGGAGATAAAACAAATGGCAAGACACCATACCTGTGCTCTTAAATTGTATACAAAACAATTATTGACCTATCTAAGGCTTAAAAAGCAGCTAATGAGCTACACAGGAGCTCAAAGT